TAAATTAGAAGGGAAGCCCTTTGGTATCCCAGAAGTCACTGATCCAAAACTGACCCTTGTTGGCCTGCTGTCTGTAGTTCTAGGAAATATTCACTGCCCTGTGGCAGTCGTGCAGCAACATATCCTCTTAGTGGGGATTAAGTGCTAGAGTAAAAGGTAAAGGTAAAGGACCCCTGGATGGTTAAGTCCAGTCAAAGGCGACTATGGGGTTGCGGCACTCATCACGCTTTCAGGCCGAGGGAGCCGGTGTTTGTCGACAGACAGCTTTCTGGGTCATGTGGCCAGCATGACTAAACCACTTCTGGTGCAACGGAACACCATGACAGAAACCAGAGTGCATGGAAACACCATTTACCTTCCTGCCACAGCAGTACCTATTTATCTACTTGCACTGGTGTGCTTTTGAACTGCTAGGTTGGCAGGAGCTGGGACAAAGCAATGGGAGCTCACTCCGTTGCTGGGATTCGAACCACCAACCTTCCGATCAGCAAGCCCAAGAGACTCAGTGGTTTAGACCACAGTGCCACCCCCAGCCTGATGCCCTGCAGATGTTTTGGACTACTCTTCCTTCCCATCAGACCCAATCATCATGGCCAATGAACAGAGATGACAGAAGTTGTGTAGCTAAAAATATATGGGAAGCACCAGTTTAGGGAAGGCTGCTCTGGAGTGCAGAAAGTTTGTTCCAATCTGACAGAATAAAGAAGATGGTTTCTTCAAGTCCCAGTGATAAAAAATTGACCTCTCGGTCTCCTTCTAGTCAAACATTTGTATAATGTCACATTTTAATATCTATTCCTGGAAGAACAACTGTCATAAAGACTTCCTTGCAACCAGAGGTTGCAAACAGATTATAAACACTCCACTTCACTGTCCCACTGATAGGCAAGGAAGGATCGTTGAGGCAATTTTACACTAAGAGAAAGCTGTAATTGGATCAGACCAATGGAATATTTAGCCCAGCTTTCCATTTTTTAATAAAGACTACTTCTGCCTGATTTAAATAAAATGTCTAACAGAATGAAGTACTGCCAGAGACATCCATTTACTATCAATCATTTGGAGCCTCCAGCATTTCTGTGCTTAGAAATCCATTCAGCCAAATTAAAGTCTTTGTCAATACGCCTCTCTTTTACGAACTTGCCTTCTTGTTGTTGTTGTTGTTGCTGCTGCTGTTGTTTTAAATCCACTTGCACATAAGAATATACAAAGAGTCCTGCTGGACAAGACTAATGATTCTGTTCCTCACAGGGGCCAATCAGGTGCCTCTGGGAAGCTCATAGGGAGGGCAGGAAGGCTGTTGCCCTCCCCTGTTGCTTTGCCCTCTCAGCAGATGGTAAATCACATTCCATGCAAAAGGATCCCAAGCGTCAGTTTTGTGGGAAAGAGGGAGAAGAGCTCCTTTTGTTCACTTTGTTGCATGTTCATTTCAGTGGGTGCCCTCCAATTCTGGAATTTTGTAGAGGTGCAGTGGAAGAGCAGTTCAGAGGGGATTTTTATTATTATTTTGTTTTCCTGTTTTGCCCCAGGCTATTCAGAATTGTGTACATCTCTATCCAATTCCAATCCAATGTAAGATCATATTCTATAATAGATATTTCATTAGATTTGTCTTGGTAAGGTGGGGCTACCATAATCTATACACAAAACAGAGGATATAGATGGTCCAAGAGTTAATAAAAGGGCTCAGGGATACTTCCTGTATTGTCCTCTATTCGTTCCTTCTCTAAAAATGCTAATGCTCTATGTGTTGTTTTGAAGAACTTTAACCTGATGATGCCCTATCCATGCAGTAGCAACAGGGTTCACTTGGCCATTTCTCTATCGCTGAGGCAGAACCAGTCTTCTAGGAAGCAGCGCTGTCCGCCAACCTTTGGATCGACCTGTGGCTAGCTGCTTCCTATGGTTCCAGAAAAGCAGTGGGCATACCAATCCTAGCCCTCATTGGGCAGCACTGGGGTGTGATGGAGCTCTGTAGCCACCACTATATCTGCAGCCCTGCCACTCACGCTGGCTGACCAGGGGTGGAATACAATGGGGCAGGCAAACCCCTGCTCTATGTTACACCAGCCTAGATGTCAAGTGATGGCACTTGGGGGGCACTTGGGATCTAGTAGGTTGCTGGCTGATTCAGCCTCTCCTCACAGATTGTGGGGAGTCTCTGTGTGATACCACTCATGGGGATCCTGTCCATGGTGCTTCCATGATACTTCCAGTCACTTGCATTTGGGATGGGTGAAATAGGGGACTTCATGCTGAAGAGTGACACTAGTGTCACTCCACTGGCAGAGGCTGGCACAGCTCTTTTGGGCTGAGTGGAGACTGCCACCTCATTTCACCCTTCAGTTTCGCAGATCAGGGTTAACTGGTAACTGTTATCAGGATCTCCATGTATGGCGAACTCTGGATTGTACTTTTACTTGTCACCGCTTTTAGATCCACTTGTAACATTAATTCCTGCTTAGTTTTTGCAAGATATGTGTTATGAGGGTGTTCAACTCCATTTGGCCCTGCACTGTATATTGACTCAAGCAACAATTATTTTCATTATTTCTCAGTTCCTCTTAGGCCAACAGGTGTACCTCGTTTGCCACAAGTGGATATGGCCCTGTTGTTTCCAGTGAGATAAACTGGCGGAGCCTTCTTCCCTAGATCTCACTCCACACACACCAATAAGATTCAAGAAACTTTGGTTTATTTTTCAAATGTTATCCTGCCCTCCCTGTATGGTGCCTGAGGCAGCACCCATGGTGTTTTCCCATTTTATCTTCACAAAAATCCTGCTAAGAGACTTGCTCTATGCCACTCCATAAGTGAACTTCATGACCAAGATAGGATTTGAATCCAAGTTATCATCAGTTCAGGTCTCACACTCTATACCATGCACCACACCACTCTCAGAATCATAGAACTATAGGGTTGGAATGGACCCAAAGGATCATCCCCTGAAAAGCAGGAATCACAGCTAACACTCAAACACTCGTCTTTAATATAAACTTAAGATGTATTCCTGGATCAGGGCCATGCAGTAAGAAATTGCCCCAGTTGGCAATGCTCTTCCCTTAAGGCCATTTGGATATCTGCCTTCATACACTTGTGGTCAAAAATCTCTGCCAAGACCCTTCTAAGATCTGTAAGTGTCTAGAAGGACATCAGTGGTACATCATTGTGAGGGCAGGGGCGATGTATCTTTTACATAAGAGCAAAGGCAACATGCAAGCTGCCACACAGTGCTTCAATCTCCTGCTTCTCTGCCTTGTTCTCACCCACCCACCAAATATTAGAGTTCTAAGGCTTGGGTTTTGATGGTGATCTGCATTCAAAAACATGCAAGGAGATTCTGAGGGCAAGAACTAGGCTCCCATGTCTCCTTGCTTAATTGACACCATCAGTCATTTCAATGCATCACCCCAAAAGAGACATTCTGTAGGGGCAGCTTTCTGAGTGGGAGATGCTCTGTCAGTCGTTGTCTGATGGATGGCAGTCCAGGGTGATTTTAAATTCACACAAATTAATTCAGACTGCTTTTCAGAGTAGCTGGTCAAACAGAACATTTGAAAGACACCAGTGGGGAAATGGACATGCTGATGAGACTTTCTATTTTTGCAAGTATTCATTGGTTTGTTTTTAAAGGAAGCAATGCAATAAGTTAGACCTTGCTCGTTTATGAAATAGAATCAACTTTTTGGAAAGGTATTTGAGCTTTTTTAAATTCAGTGAATGATAAATAATGCTCTTTGTTTAACATGTCTTACAGCGTGGGCTTCATCTGGCTATTTCTTTTGAGCTGAGAGACAAGCTACCTTACATCCTCTCCCTTAGGAGTTCGTTAAATGTTCTAGCACTCTATTCTTTAGCCTGCCTCTGGCTCTAGATTATAAAGGATATCACTGCTGGGAACCAAGAAAGAAGGAAGGAAGGAAGGAAGGAAGGAAGGAAATAGAAAGAAAGAACTTTTCCTGCTCTCAATCTTGATTTTACCTAACTTGTTAATTGTTTTGTGACTTTTTTGATTTACTGTTAGTATAGAAAAATGAGAAGAAATAGATTTTTAGATTTTTATTTCCAAATCCCTGTGGAGGACATTCACATATGTGGCAAAATGTAACCTGGTAAAAGTATTAAACCAAGAAATATGAACACTTACTTATAAGTTAGAATGAAGTAGCAAGGCATTACAGGTTTGGGACAGTGGAAGCAAACCCGTATGTTCATGCTTGCCTCCTCCTGTCAACATCTTCTCATTTCTTAACTTGGAAATGTTTCAATTTTTTAGCATACATCTTGAAAAGCTAATCATTTGGGGTATTATCAAACACTTTTATTTTTATCCCCACATTTGTCTTCTAAAGTATCAGTGAATAACTAGAATCGCAGAAAATCATCAAATAGGGTCACCACTGTGATACAGCTGATAGTAATGTTAAACACACACACAAAATTCCTTTCCTAGAAGCACCAGTTACAAAACTTAATGTTGTTGTTGTTGTTGCTGCTGCTGCTGCTGTTTGCTACCTGTGAGATCTCAAATAGTGGTTCTCACATCCTGGATCAAGCTCATACAATGAGCTCTGAAGTGGATTGATATGTCTTCCAAATTAAACTTTGAAAGATAATTAATTACCAGAAATGGCTGTGGGTGTTTGGCAGAGAGACAACTAGCTTCCAGTGCAATCTTCTATTAGCTTCTAAATCTGTTGGGAAGAATAGGATTAGATGCCAAGGATATCTATAGGATTAAAAAGCAGCGTGTTGAACTAATTCATCCCACCACAACCAAATGCCAGAGACTGGCGGGGGAGGAAAGGAGGACAGACGGGAAACAACAGAAAATATCAGTTTGATGATGCGAGATAAGAGCAAGAAATAGCACTGTAAAGCCTTCAGAACCCTCTCGAAAAAGAAGCACTGTATAGCAGCATGTTTCAGAAAATGACAAAATAAAGAGGCACGGCTTCGAATTCCACTCATTGTCGGCATTTCTGAATAACAATGCTTACCTTTGCGAAGCAGAGACACCTGTTAGGTGATGAGGAAGCGTCTCAGTTCTGTGCGAGGTTTCCCAGGCGAGCTGGGCAAAGATGCTCTGACTTTCTTTCTCCTGGCGGACTGGATGCCTGCTCCTTGCTGTAAAGATGCCGCCTCTGTCAAGTGCTGGAGGTGCTGCGCCTCCGAATCCTCTTCTCTTGCATAAGTAGCTGCCCACAGCTCTGGTGTTGAAAGCTCTTGATTTGCTTAGCGTACAAGCGGGTCTCTCGCTCGCCGCGATGCTCACACATTTGATTCACGTTTGAAACTCCTCCAAAGACGCTGATGTCGAGCAGCTTGCCAAGCATTTATTATCTCGGCAGGGAGCTGTCCGAATCCAGGGTGCTGAAATCAAACTCCCCGCGCGGGGGCCAGGAGCACAAAGCCTTCCCCGGAGGGAGCTGTCCAACAACGTGGTGCTAAATTCAAGCTCCCGGGGCAAGGGGGCTTCAGCATGCAATGCTTCGCGCAGGAAGCCACAGCGAGCACACCCTCTGCTTAAATTATTTGCTCCCAGGATATCAAAGCGATGGAGGAAAGGTCTGAACCTTGTAAAGGGCTTTCATTTGTTATGGTACTGATACTTCCTTCTGGTCGTCAGGATCAGTACTGATCCTTATAAACAATAGGAAGGGGAAGAATGTTCTCCTGTTTGGATTCTGTAGGTGGATCCCAGAACAGAAACCACCATAAAGGGGTCCCCCCCAAGCTTACTAAGGGACTGGAGGCAGCAGAGGGTTATCTCAGGATGCCTCTTCTCAATCCTCAAGTGGGCGTTAACCTAAAGCAATAAATGCATGTTTGTGACAACATCTGTTAAACGTCTTGAAATTTCTAGCTTCAAGGGTTAAGGGTAAGAATGTAAATTAAGGCAAGTTATAAAAGAAATATTAGGGAGAAGAAATGACAGGCAAGTAGATAAGGCCCAAAGCAGAAAGGCAAAGCCTTGCAGCATTTTTCACATGCAGCTGCCATGACTCCAAGATAGTAGCTGGTGGGATCTATTTTGTTGTTTCTAGAACCCCAAGATCCACCAGTTGGAACCGAGTGCAAAATCCTTAGAGAGATAGGAAGGCAGGGCACCCAGGAATTCACTTTTAGTATTAAAATTGAACTCACTGTCCTTTCACACAAAAGTCCATTCTAGGTTCTCTCCAAACTTTCTCAATTTCAGCAGGTCAATGTGGCATTTGAAAAAGTTGTTGCTATTGTTAAACAGCTGGGAGTCAGAAATCCTTCTTCAACTACTGCAAACCACCCAGAGATCTACCAGATTAACTTCTGAGAACCCCTCCTGTAAGAAATGCACTTGCCTCTCTGGTGACGTCTCTTTCTAATTCCCATGAATTTGTGGGTAAATATGATGGTTCAATATTTTAAGAGTTTGTCACCTCTAGTTAAATGCATCTCAACTCTTCAGCATTTGTGTCCTCCCTTGCCTGAGCACCCAGATGATCTGTACTAGGAATCCATGAGAAACATATATTCCTTTAGAAAATATATAATAGATTTTTATATAGAAGAAACTAGCAGCAATTTTTAGCCCAGGATGAAAGAGCCTGAAATACCCCAGATTTAATTATGGAGGGGGGGGTCATTCTCTTAAGTTTAATCACATCCTACTGGTGGATAAAGCTATGGTTTGAACTTAATTTACTAAGTGAGCAGATCAGCTTGATGGTGTGGAAAGACAAATTATTCTCTTGAATTGCTCCCAGTCTAGGGGTAGTTTGTGTTCAGGGCTGACATGTTTTCTCCCTTTCCTCATGTTAATAGCCTCTTTAATCAGCTACTAATTATGTGCAATGGGGAAACAATTCAGTCAACAGGCCATCTTTCCCTTTCCATTTTTTTAAAATCAATTAAATACCTTAAGTTGAGTGCATCTACAGGACAAGGGCCAAAATGTATTTATAATATATTATTAGTGATGTGCTCTCAGATGTGTAACATATGTGACTTTGAGCTCTAGGCTCCTGCAATACTCCCTGTCCCTGAGTTTCTTCCTAGCAGAACTGCATATTGTCCCTTGAGGCCCTTACCTGGAATTGGGCACAGATTCATGACTTCTTGCTCTCCTACAGCTGTCATCACCAAGGCTGCTCACACACCATATATTTACAGTCCACACAGCCCAATAATCTTGGAAGCTGTAGTTTACCTCTCACGGAGCCAGAATTCTAAATGCCCTTGAACTACAGTTCCCAGGATTCTTTAAGGGAGGAAATGTGTTTGAAATGTATGGTGTGTACACAGATAGGTTCAAAATGTTGGTACTAAAAGAGAACCAGTGATTTCCAATCCATTTTCAAAGCTCAATTTATGGTACTAGTGCTTACCTATAAACCCTACATAGCCTGATATCCAGGAATCTGAAGGAACTCACCCCACATATACCTACCCAAACTTTGAGATCTTTCTGTTCTCCAAAGCTTTCTAGAGTTTTAAAGAGTTTACTAGCCTATTGTATTTAGCTACTGGTTTATTGCCTTGTGGGATATCTTTGGGAGAGGAAAAGGTTAAGGAGCAAACTCTACACAAATCCAGAATGGAGTCCCTAAGATGGTTGGATGGCATCTTGTAAGCCTTCTTCCAGCAGCTCCTGCAGACAAGCTGGTGCCAAATGTATTACAGTCGTACCTTGGAAGTCGAACGGAATCCGTTCCGGAAGCTCCTGCAGCCAATTGGAAGCCACGGAAGCCGCATTGGACGTTCGGCTTCCAAAAATAGTTCGCAAACTGGAACAGTCACTTCCGGTTTTGCGGCATTCGGGAGTCAAAACGTTCAAGAACTAAGTTGTTCGGAAACCAAGGTGCAACTGTACTTTGTTTTCCTTTGGACCACATCAGTGATGCTGAGACCTCCAGCCCAGGCAGTTCAGGACCTCCATCCACACTGTCCAGGTTTGCACCCCAGAGAGATCACTTCGGTGCTGCTAATGCAGCAAAACAACATGGAAGGCAGCAGTTGCGAGTTACCGGCCTCTGTAGCAATAGCAGGCATTGTGATTCTCCAGCAATTCGACTTCACCTCTGTAAGCACACTCCATTGTTTCCCGAGACAGACGGATGCCAACATTATCACTGTGGCAAACTTAATCTATTGTGATTGTATTTCAGCCTTAATTTTGTAAACCATTCTAGAATCTTCAATGAAAGGCAGTAGAAACTCATAAATAAATACATAGGTTTTACTACTATATAGTGAATTTTCCTACTGAGCATTCTACTAACCTGCCATTGCTTTGAATTCTGGTTTTCTAATTGTGAGTTCTATGATGATGGTTGTGGAAGATGATAGTGACTGTGAAATCCTCTAATGTAAACTGGGTGTAGTGTGATCAAGTGGCAATGAAAGGAAGATTCACCTGAACAATATGCTTGAAGAATAAATTTACCCTGCCAACACACTACATTGCCCAGTGGGTATTGCATCTAGGGATGTAAATCATTTTAGTGCAAAAATGTGAAATTTTATGAACATTTAGAATTAATTGAAGCACATTTGACTTTCCATTTAAATTCTTCCAGGAATCCCACAAAAGGCTGTTGCTTCTCATTAACTGGTATTTGGTAGCATACTGCAGATGTGGGGAACCTGTGACCAGCCGGGTGCTGTTGGACTACAACTCCTATCATTCCTGAACACTGGTCATACTGGCTGGGGCTGATGGGAGTTGGAGTCCAGCAGCATCTGGAGGGTCATGGGTTTCCCCACCTCTGGCACAGTACCTACATATTTAGAGATTCTATATAGCCATCATGTCTAATAGCCAATGATAGGCTTTTCCTCCCCTTCAAAAGCCATTTAAGCCAGTGGTAAACATTACCATACCTTGTGGCAGAAAAATCTACGAATTCATTATCCACTGATTGGAGCAGCACTTCCTTTTATCTGCATGAATCTATTGCCAATCAATTTCACTGGATGATCTGAATTTGTAGTACAGTGGTACCTCGGGTTAAGAACTTAATTCGTTCTGGAGGTCTGTTCTTAACCTGAAACTTTTCTTAACCTGAAGCACCACTTTAGCTAATGGGGCCTCCTGTTGTTGCCGCACCACCGGAGCACGATTTCACTTCTTATCCCGAGGTACCACTGTATTATGAAAGGGAGATAAATGTATATCTCTCCGCCTAATATGTATACCTACACCACCTACTCCACCACATCATCTGCAATTTGATAGAACTGTTTTTGCACCTCCTCTTAGACAGCTCCCTTGTCCAAATAGTCCAGCCTTTCCTTGAAGGAAAATCACTCTAGCCTCCAAATAATGCCCTTTTCTGTACCTTTCTCAGCTCTGTGATGTCCTTTTGACAAGAAAGGACTGGAGCACAGTAGGCAAAGGATCTGATTTCAACTCCTAGCATCTCCTGGTAGGGCTGGGAAATACCCCTGTCAAAAACCATGAAGAGTGTCAGAGAAAGTAGACAGTACTGCTCTAGGTGAACCAATGATCTGAATTGATATAAGACAGTTTCCTATGTACCCAACGTTCCCTTTCTGAAATAGAACTAAGGATTCTTCACAGCATCCTGAATGTGGCTGTGGCATTGATTTATATGAAGGCATTGCAATACTGGCATCTTTATTTTAAATCGCTTCCTAGAAGTCTCCAGCATTGAATTTACATTTTCCACAACCATTCATGATTACTATTGATCTATTCATCACGAGTCCAAGACCACTTTTTTGGAGAGCCATAGCCAACTCAGATCCCATCAATGTGTAGTTGCTAAATGAGTCTCTTTCTGCAAAATACAACACCTTCTGATCAGTCACCTGTCTTTCAGACGTCTTCAGAAGACTGGTAACAGTATACTTTGTGCCCCATACATCTTCTAAAATTTAGAATAATCACTTGGGTGGGGGATCAGACCTGTAAGCCACCCCTGTCCTAAACACATGTATACCTATCCACTCTATCCACAGAATGTTTCTTCGTACCTGCAATAAACACTGAGACAAGCAAAATGATGCACAACTTCCTTGTATACACTGCAACACAGAAACACATATGTAACCATTTCACAAGCATTTCATCAATCAAGCTCGTGCCATTGGCAACACAAAGAAATCTGGGGAGATGCATTTTCATCGTAAGAGAGCTGTGACTGCAAAGGAAGGAATTTATTTCCTGTTTCCCTACTACACACTTTTACATTTCACTTTCTACCACTCCCTTGGTGACTGCATGGAAACAGCCAATATTCCGCCCAATCCCCTGAGCACATTTCAGACTGAAAGACAAATCCCCCCAGGGAATTTTCTGTTCATCTATAAAGCATCTCTTTTTACTTCTCTCCCTACAGCCAACAGATTTAGATGAGATCAGATGAAAACCTTTTACAAGGCACTGAGCAGTATTGAGCAATGCAATTGGAACCCAAGGCAGAGTTGAGAAATGGATAAATGTCCAC